CAACGAGACTACCTCAAACTAGAAAGCTGTCCAACAAAGAAAACAATCAACAGAGTGGAATCACAACTTACAGAACGGGGGAAATATTTACAAATCATGTGTCTGATAAGGGGTCAGTTCTCAAAATATATAAGAAATGCCTACAACCCAATAGCAAAAGAACTAATAACCAGATTTAAAAAATGGAAGAAGCACTTGAATCGACATTTTCCCAAAGAAGAGATACACATAGCCAACAGAGAGGACAAGATGCTCAATGTCACTAATCATCAGAGGAATGCAAAACACAAAGCTATGAGATATCACCTCATACCTGTTAGGATGGCATATGTATATATGACAACACGTGTTAGAAAGGATGTGAAGAAATGAGAACTCTTATACATTGTCAGTGGCAATGCAAAATGGTGCACCTGCTATGAAAAACAGTATGGAAGTTCCTCAAACCATTAAAAATAGAACCACCATATGACCCAGCAATGCCACTGCTGTGTATTTATTCAGAAGAATCGAAATCAAGATCTTGAAGAGGTATTAGCAGTCCCATGTTCATCACAGCATGACTCACAGTAGCCAAGATCTGGAAACGAGCTAAGTGTTGAAATAAGCCAGTCACAGGACCAACACTGCATATTTCCACTTCCATGAAGTATCTAAACAGTCAAGCTCACAGCAGCAAAGAACAGAGTGGTGGTTGCCAGAGGTCTGGGAGGAGGGGGAAGTAGGGAATTGCTAATCCCTGGGTTCAAAGTTTCAGTTATGCAAGATGAGTAAGTTCTAGAGATCTGCACAACATTGCGCCTATAGATAACAATACTGTTTTGTACACTTAACAGTCTGTTCAGAGGGTGGATTGCATGCTAAGGGTTCTTAACCACCATAAAAATTTAAAAACATTATAAAAATTAAAAAGGGCTCATGAGGCGAATACGAGTTGTAAGCAGGAGGACAGGAGACGCCTGCAGCTTCGGGTCGTCAATAACACTCTTCAATCACTTTGAAAACCATCTTGGCAGAAACCACTGGCTCTTAAACAATAAAAGGACTCATTGAAAAGTATTCCTCTCTGCCCCTCAAAGAAGCATCTCTGATTGGCAAATGCTATTTATGGCAAAAACAGAATCGATTCCACAGAGATCGATTCGGCCTCCGCCACGCAGCAGGCGCTGGGCTGTGGACTGAGAATAGAAGGAGAGCAGCTGCTCTGCTCACCAGGCAGGGAAGCGGGGCCGGTAGGAGGAGGGACTCGGCTGGCGCTCAGACCTGGATTCCAACGTGGACGCTGCTGCCTGCTGGCCGTGTGGCCCTGACGAGCTGCCTGACCTCTTTGTTCTCTAGAAAAAGGGGATGATAATGCTCGGGTGCTGTCTGAGTTAAAAGGGAAAAGAATGCACGCCATGCCTTGGACCGAGCTGCGGACTGTGCTGTTACCGGCACTAAATACCACCTACTCCAAGGCCACGTGGAAGGATGGAGCTGTGAGGATGTGCCAGGAGTGCACTGGCGCAGGGAGGCAGGGAGGTGGGTCTGGGCCCACGCCAAGAGGACCTGGACTGAGCAGGACTCTGGGGTGCAGCCATGGGCACGTCTTGTTGGGGGGCTTGGAGCATGGCCAGGATGCTCCTTAGTGGGAAGGTGGAACTGTGAGCCTGGGGATGGTCTGGAGTCGGGAGGCCCCCAGGGCAGGCTGGGCCGGATGATTTGGGGCCAGCCGCCTGCAGGGCCCAGGGAAAAAGCTTAAAATTTTCCAGCAAGGAGAAAGGCAGCAGCAGTGCCTTTGGCTTCCAGAAACTTCTTAGAGCTGGCTTAACCTGCTGTGGGTGAGGACTGGGGATGAGTATGTGTGTGATAAGGTAGGGGAGGCAGCAGGTGACTAAGAATTCAGGTGTCTGTCTCCTGAATTCTGGGAAGGGCACAGGCTCTCCAAAGGGGCTGATAAGATCCCCAGGGCGCACCTTTCTTTCCCAATCTTCTCTTTCAGGGACGCTGAGTTCTCTATGGGAAAGAGCCCTGGATTGGGAGCTCCCGAGCTCTGGGTGAGGTGTAGCCTAGACCCGTGGTCGGCAAACTGCGGCTCACGAGCCACATGCGGCTCTTTGGCCCCTTGAGTGTGGCTCTTCCTAAGCCTTAGGAGTACCTTAATTAAGTTAATAACAATGTACCTACCTATATAGTTTAAGTTTTAAAAATTTGGCTCTCAAAAGAAATTTCAATCGTTGCACTGTTGATATTTGGCTCTGTTGACTAATGAGTTTGCCGACCACTGGCCTAGACTGACTGTGTGTCCCTCAAAGGGCATTCAGCCCTTGTGCCCCTTTAAGATGGGGCGTGTGCCCAGGCCCTAAGTCAGACTGGAGGACCCCAGACTCTAGGGCAGCGGTTCTCAACCTGTGGGTCGAGACCCCTTTGGGGGTCAAACAACCCTTTCACAGGGGTCGCCTAAGACCATCGGAAAACACATATATAATTACATATTGTTTTTGTGATTAATCACTATGCTTTAACTATGTTCAATTTGCAACAATGAAAATACATCCTGCATATCAGATATTTACATTACGATTCATAACAGTAGCAAAATTACAGTTATGAAGTAGCCAGGAAAATAATTTTATGGTTGGGGGTCACCACAACATGAGGAACTGCATTAAAGGGTCGCTGCGTTAGGAAGGTTGAGAACCACTGCTCTAGGGAGCCGTCCTGCCCTAGAGCAAGTCCGTGGGGCATTTCTTCCACATTCCAACCTAGTTGCCCCAGGGCACTTAGCACCTTCTCCATCTCTGTCTTCCTCCCCAAACATGTAGGTAGAGCAGCGTGACCCCTCTCCACAAACGAGGAACAGGCTCAGAGCAGGCGAGCTCTCCCCCACGATGGCACAGCTAAGCAATGCAAGAGGCAGGATTGGAACCCAGGGCTAAGCTCCTGAACCGCCTCACTACGGGGCCCCGAGCGGTGGTGTGGAACATGGGGCTCTGGTTTCCTCTTTGACAGAACGGTGGGAGCCGCAGATGGTTTATTTACTCCTCGTGTTTACCACGGAGCAGGGCAGAGGTCGGGGATCGTGACACCTTCCCACGGAGTTCAGTGCATCAGACCAGTGGGCGCTAGGGGAGGGTCCTTGTTTCTTGTCGGTGCAGCCCTCCTGGCACCTTCCGGACCTCACACCAGCGTGTGCGCACTGCCACAGGCCGTGTCAGAGTGTCCTGGCAGCCGGGGCAGGCTCAGCCCTGCTTCCTGCTCGGGGAGCAGGCGACGGCGACGCCAGGAGGTGCCCGGATCACGCAGAGGGAACGTGTGGGGACAATCCAGGTCACTGCCCTAGAAAGTGCTGCCTTCTGCCTTCAGATGGGTTGTCAGGGGCTCAGGGCAACTCAGGCCGGAACGGGAGGGCCCCTCGAGGCCACCTGGGCCAGCCTCCTGCCTCCTGCCTTCACATCATCCCCAAAGGGGTACGGGGCGCAGAGCTGCATTCTGAGCTTCGCACACTTTTGGAGAGACCATCGTGTGAGCCTGAGAAACCATCTGAATCCGAGAGCGTGTGTTAGGAGAAGGTCTGGCTCTGTGGACGGGCGGAGGCTTGCGGGCTTACGAAGCGCCCAGGAGGGCCTGCGCTCTGCTTTCCCGGCAGCCACGCAGCCTGGAAAAGCACCCTGTTTCCAGAAACGATGCTTCAGGAACATTTGCAGGTACCCCCCCCCCCGCCCCTTCCCCTCAACGGCTCTACTATCCTTCCTTCAAAAACACAGACCTGTCCCTTGGCCCCACCGTCCCCTGCAGCTGACAAGTGCCTTCCACAGAAACCCTTCTCCAAAGACTAGTCCACACTCAGGCCCCACACGCCACCGACTCCTGAGCGGGGCCCCATGTGGCTCCCGTGCTCACCCCACTGACACCGCGGCCCCCTGACCTCCTTGTTGCTAAACTCAGGCCACTTCTCTGGGGTTTTATCGGTTCCCCAGAGGCCACTCCTCCTTGGGTCCTGGGACCTGCTGCTGGGGTTGGGGGTGGGGATGGTACGGCACATGTGAGGTAGGCTGCCCCGCTCCCAGGAAGGAGTGCTGTGATGATCCTCACGCTCTCCCGGAACCTTCTCTGCCTCGGGTCACTCCCCCCCCCCCACCTCCTCGCTGGCTCCTGTCCTCCCCTCCACCTGCACCCTCTCCCTGGGTGACCCCATCGAGTCTCCAGCCCTAAGCACCAGGTACAAATCAACATGACGCTCAATCCGTGTCCCCAGGATGACCTTCTCCTTATCTTCAGACACTTCCACCTGAGCAACCACATGACGGTGCCCTGGGGCATAAAACCGGCTCCTGGTGTCCACCCCTCCTCCCCCCACTTCTCTTCCGGACTCCCCATCCTGACCACGGAGCCCCCAGCACTTTCTCCCTTCTCTGTAGCTCGTGTCTGCAGGTTCTGTTGGAACTAACTCAAAAAATATAACTGGGCTGCAAACCGTCCTTCCCTCCTCACTTTCTCAGCGTTGCTCCCAGCCCCCAACCTCTCCCTGGAGATCCAGCGGCCCCCTCGGCCCCCAGCCCACATGTCCCACTGCCAATTCTGTGCGGACAGCAGCTAGGGCCACCTTCTAAAGGGGCAATCGTGCCTGGTCCAGAAAGTACCCCACTGACCTCTTGCTTCTCAAAAGTTCTGGCTTGTTCTTATTTATTTCTTTTTCAGAAGCAAATCTTTTTTTTAAAAAAGAAGTAATTCAATGGGAACCAACCCAGGCCCAAGATCCATTCATTCAAATAATACTACTCACTGCAGGCAGCGTCCTCAGTGAGGGGTTCCTGCAGCCTGAGTCAGCAATGCTTTCTTTGGGGGCCATTTCCCTTTATATGTAAACGCAATCAATAAAGACCTGGCTTTGGTAAACAGCAGGGGGAGGGGACGGTTCTCTTTACCAAGGATAATCGCTTTATAACTGGTCCCCGCCATGGCTCTCCTGGTGCCCCAGGCGGAGTTTCCATCACAGACATGGCATGCTCAGGCCTTACCTCCCGGAGGCAGGTGTAGATGGGGCAGACCAGCACGCGGAAGGGCTCGCCCGTGCTGCTGCGCATGGTGCCGAACACCTCGCACAGGAAGGTGATGAAGCCCAGCCAGCGCTCCACATCCTGCTGCTGCAGCGCCTCCCGCACCGTGAAGTCCTTCTGCGGAGGAACGAGAGACCGAGTCAGCCTTGCGGGGCCGGGTACCACCCGCTCTGCTACCTGCTCTGCTGCGGGGCCTGCCGTCTGAGGGCTGGTCCTCGCGTTTTCAAGGACGGGAATGGGTGAGCAGTGCCACAGCACCTGTTCTTCAGGGTCCCCAGGTCCGCCATTCAACTCCCTGTGCCTAAGCGCTCTCCCTTTGCGAACCCCCAAATCATGCCCCCCACGCGAGGGAGGGAAATTAGAACACTGCCCGGTGCATGTCAGCAGGGGTCTATGGAGGCCCAGCACTGGGGCGGAGATGCAGCTACAGCCTCTGCCTGTAAGGGGCCTAGAGGATAATGAAAAAATTAGTCATTCATTCATTCTTTTCTTTTTTTAAAATATATTTGTATTGATTTCAGAGAGGAAGGGAGAGGGAGATAGAAACATCAATGGGGAGAGAGAATCATTGATCGGCTGCCTCCTGTATGCCTCCCACTGGGGATCGAGCCCACAACCTGGGCATGTGCCTTTGACCAGAATCAAACCCGGGACCCTGCAGTCCACAGGCCGATGCTCTATCTATTGAGCCAAACCACTAGGGGCCATTCATTCATTCTTAAAAGTATTACTGCCCGACGGAGTGCCAGCCATTGCATTAAGGCTAAGATCAGACATGATAACTCGTAGCTACGATACAAGGAAAGGTCTTAAAAGCCACTGGGGATTCCAGGTAGAGGGATGTTGAGAGCTCACATTTACTTAGCAAGAGAATTTTCATTTTAATTTCAGAGAGAAGAAAAAATTCTACAAATAGCTGTGAAGGAAAAAAAAAATAACCCCTAGATTTCTCACAAAGGCACAACAACATTGTTGACCTTTTACTTGTACATTTCATGTTAAAATTCAGAGACGCTGAGGCAACATCTTCATATGCTTGAGGATAAAGAACACACCCAGCTATGAGTGAAAGCAAGAGAAAGAATCTTACATAGCAGATCTTTGGGAAAAAAAAAATCCCATCCATGTGCTTGTCTTAAAAAAAAACCCCAAAACCTAAAGGATACAGTTGCCATGGAAAACAGTATGGCAATCCTCAAAAATTAAAAACATCATCACAATACGACCCCACAATTCCACTTCAGGATATATATTCAAAAAACCCCCGAAAGCAGGATATTTGCATACCCATGTTCATAGCAGCACTTTCGACACGAGCCAAGAGGTGGACGCAACCCAAGTGTCTATCAATGGATGAGTGACAGAAAGTGGTCTATGCAGACAATGGAATATTACTCAGCCTTGAAAAGGAAGGAAAGGCTGACACATGCTACAACACCGGTGAACCATGAGGACATTAGGCTCAGTGAATAAGCCAGTCACAGAACATTGTATGTTCCAGTAGGTACCGAGTAGAAACAGAAAGCATGGTGGTTGCCAGGGCTGGGGGCAAGGGGCTACGGGGAGTTGTTTAATGGGTTAAAGTTTCTGTTTTGGGCAAGTTGAAAAAGTTTTGCAGATGAGTTGCATAACAATGTGACTTATACTTAACATGAATGAACTGTACACTTGTAAATGGTTGAGATATGGTATATTTTATGTTACGTGTTTTTTCTTTTTACCACAATGAAAAATAAATACACAAACTGAGATGTGCTGTAAGGTGTAAAACAGACACTAGTTTTTGAAGACTTAGTATAAAAAAAGAATGTAAAATGCCTCATATTTTAAAATATTTATTGCATGCTAAAATTTGGATATACGGAGTAAAGTAAAATATACTATTGAATTTAGCACATACTACTGATAAAGCCAGAAATTATATATAAAATCAAGAACTAGAAATAAATTTAGAAATACCAACAAAATTGAAAATAGATATGGAGTAGATAAAAAGAGAAATAAAAGCTATTTATAACTCTATGCTGATGATTTTGGAAAAAATGATGAAATAGGTGATTTAAAAAATAAATATACCAAACTTTACTAAAAAAATAGAAATGAAAAGTTGGAAAAGACTAAAGGTCATAAAACAAAATGAAAAGTTCTGAAAGAATTAAGAGGTGTCTACATTTATGATTTTTTTAGGTAAGTTATTCAAACTTTAAAACAATTAGATAACTACTCTGCTATGCAAATTGATCCAGAACATAGAAAAAGATAAGCTTTTCCAGTTCCCTATTACCCAAATCTCAGAATGATAGTAAATTTCAAACAAGGAAGTCTATGGCTAATTTCTCTAATGTGAATAGATGTGAAAGTACTAAATGAAATACCAGCAAACAGATCCATGATAACCAAGTAGATTTTATCCCAGAAAGGCAAAGATGAGTTAGTATCAGGAAACCTGCAAACATAATATAGTACATCAATGGGCCTGATTAAAAAGCCACAGAAACATCCATGACCCTTGGAAGGAAGAAGATAAAATGATTTACTAGTAACATAATTACATATATGCAAAACCCAAGAGAATCCTATATAATAAAGAGCTAATATGCTAATTAGACCGGAGGGCGGACCGACCGTCCGGATGACCTTTTGGACGAAGCTGGGGCTGCAAGGGCTGAGCTCCTTGCACGAATTTCGTGCATTGGGCCTCTAGTTCTCTAATAAAGATTAGAATTAATAAGAGAGTTTACGAACTAACTTATGAACTAGTGCTGTATTTAAATGCAAAATTAATAAACAGAAGCCTACAGTTTTTCTATGATAGGATTAATCAGTGAGATAATTTAATGCACAAAAGCTCATTAAGTAAAACAATATAAATTCTTAAGTGACATTAAGGAATGTACAAGATTTCTATGAAGAAAACTGCAAATTGAACTGAGATTTAAGAGAAAGTCTAAAAACAAGGGAAGATACACAGTGTTCCTTAGTGGGTGGACAGCATTGCAAAGACGGTAATTCTCCGCAAAGTGGTTCACAGGTTCAGCACCAATTTGTACTCTATATTCCAATGGGAACATTGGAGGGTAAGGGGGAATGGAGACTTGAAAAAAATTATCCTGAAAGTACTTCGAGAGAATAACAGGGGAGATAGCTAAAAACAAAACAAAACAAACAAAACTATAAGGAGCTGTATTTCTTTTCACCTATCCGAAACTTTAATAATTAAAAGGGTGTGGAACTGACGTAAAAATGGACAGCTACATCGGACAGCCTAGAAACAAATTCAGCACCCATCGGGTTCATCACATGGTCCCCAAAGAACCACAAATCAGTGGCAAAGGAAGCATTATTCACTGAAGCCACGGTGCAGAGACAGCGGTCTAAGTGTGAGAGGGTGGGGGGAGAGGATAATTTAGAGTCTTCCTTCACACTGGGCCCTAAGATGAATTCCAGATGGAATAAAGAGGTAAATCTGTGTGTTTTGTGTGTTTTTTTTTTAAAGGACAAACCATAAAAACTTGAAGAAAATGAAATTGAGTATTTGTCAAACTTCTGGATAAAGAAGGGCTTTCTGTATATTAACACAACAGAGGAATGCAACGAAATAGTATAAACACTCTTAGAAGGCAATAATATTCTGGGAAAAATATCTGCAATAAATGTGACAAAGGGTAAGGGTAACGGGCATTAAAAGATAATTCAAATGTCAAAAAATTAAATCTCAGTAGCAATTGAATGAAAGTCACCCCCCCACCCCCACCCCCGCCACCGGCCCCTTGTATTAGCAAAGCTGAAAACTGATCATTGCCAATGCTGGAAGGATGCAGTGAGACAGGAACTCTTGTGGATGGGGAGTGTAAATCAGTAGCGCTTTCACAAAAAATCTTAAAATAAGCTTTAAAGGCGTTCTTATTGTTTGACCCAGTAATTGCACTTCTGGGTAATTAGCACAAGGAAATAATTAAAAATAACAGGAAAAATAAGCTTAATGCACACAAGAATTCAACCACGTAAGTATCCAACAATAGAGTGATAAAGTAAAGGATGATTCATGCTCCCATCAAACATTATGTTTATGGCCCTGGCTAGTGTGGCTCAGTTGATTGGAGCATCATCCTGTACAACAAAAGGTAGGGTTCGGTTCCTGGTCAGGGCACATATCCAGGTTACAGGTTTGATCCCCAGTTGGGGGTGCATGCAGAGGGGGCAACTGATTGATGTTTCTCTCTCACATCAATGTCTCTCTCTCTCACCCCTTCCTCTCTTTAAAAATCAATAAAAAACATTAAAAATTATGTTTATGAAAAGTTTATAACAGCATGGGAAATGGCTATCGAATGAATGACAAGTAAAAAAGAGAAAGCAAAGGCAAAATGGTATGTACTATATAATCTTATCCATGAATACATTTTTGAAAAAAGAGGAGGAATATCAAGTGTTAACAGTAGTGGTTTCTCAGTAGTGGAATTGTGAATGATCCTTATTTTTTAACTTTTCATTATTTTCTGCATTTCTTTGCTCTTCTGTGAATGTATCTTTTTATAGCCAGAAAAACAGGCTAGTGAGGAAGAAATTGGCAAGATGTGCCCCTTCTCCTTCGTTTTTTAAATGAGGGCAGCGGAACGCTTCGAGTGTGATCGGCCAACTGGTGGCGATTCTCACTAACGGGGTGGCGAAATGGGTTGCGAACATGCCAGCCAAGAGGCCACCAAAACCAGCCTGTGTGTCTCCTCTGGGCACATACAGCGCAGGCTGCCAGCTTTTCCTCTGGAACAGGGAGCTTTCTGCCAACCCAAACCAGCCGTCCCCTGGGTCCCAGCTCCGCTTCAAACTCGGTCTCTTGCATCCAGAACCAGCAAGGGGCCTCCGACTGGTGGCAGCCATTTCAAAGTCTGGTACTTGGCCCCAGCTTCTCATCAGACTGGCAGGCTCCCTCCCAGCAACCCCGAGTGCCGTTCCCCAAACTTTAAGGCTACCATTTAAGCCCCGTTTCCTGCCTAAAACTATTTATTGACGTATTGCTATTTCCTGCACTGGCCACATCAATAAGCCCTGAAAGCCATTCAGTGTCTCAGGTTTCTCAAGGCATTCTGGGAAATTCTTCCTGCTCTGGATAACCACAT